AAAATCGAACAGAGTTCTTTTTGTATTACTTTGCAATATATATATATATATATATATATATATATATATATATATATATATATATATATATATTGATATTGCTAGTTTCCTACTTTCTAAATAGAATAGATTTTTGATTCGATTTAGAAATAATGAATTACCTCCTTGGTTGCAAACCCTCTTAAAAACTAAAAAAAGCCCTACGAACACGAACGAGAAGGATGAAAGCGAGTTGGTATGCTAAATCCTCATCCGCAAATCAACCCTTCACGTGGGTTATTTTCTCAACGAATAAGTAATTCTAGGAATGAAATATTTATTTAATTCAAAAAAGCAAAGCACAAGTCCAAGGTAATAAAATATGAAAAATTTTGATTTTTCATATTTCGAATATTAAACAAAAGGATTCGCAAATAAAAGTGCTAATGCTACAACCAAACCATAAATGGTTAAAGCTTCCATAAAAGTTAGACTAAGCAATAAAGTACCTCATATTTTTCCCTCCGCCTCGGGTTGTCTCGCGATACCTTCTACAGCTTGACCCGCAACAGTACCTTGACCAACTCCAGGTCTAATAGAAGCAAGCCCTACAGCCAATCCAACAGCAATAACGGAAGCGGAAGAAATCAATGGATTCATGATAAGTTCCTCGTACCAAAAAAATGGTTAATGATACATTCAACCAATGAACTATGACTTAATGATTCCATTGCTACGAGTCATACAGTCGAAGTAACTACGAACTTCGAATTTAAGTAATAACATTCTTGAATCATCAAAACGACTTTGATTTCTCTTTTTTAGTTTCTCTCGAGAAAGTCTTTGTGAATCCATACAACTTTAGTTTTTCCGTTTCTTTGTCCCGAAACGCTCTTTGAATTCTTCGATTTTTTTATTGACTTCATCCGTTTATTCATTGAACTCATAGTCACAGATGAGATAGAAGGACTTATATAAAATCCCCATCTACATTCACATTCGATTAGTAGGGCAAATTAGATATATCTTTTGCTCATATATAACTAGTCAATCTCTAATATCACATATACATGTCTTTCTTCCACAATGTAAACCAACTCTTCCCTAATATTTAATTCAAGCTGATTTGATAAGGATGCGTCTAACCCTTGACAAGAGTTAACTTCTAGCCATTCAATTCCATATACCTAGTTCGACCTCGCCTCTACGAACCATTTATAAATCCTTTTTTTTATAAATTATCATTTCCCTTTCTTTATCATTATCACGCAACCTAAATTGATAAGATAATAAATGGATAAATTGATTGGGCCGAATCGTTGCATAGAAATTGATTTGATTAATCTAAGTTCATACAATTTATTATTTATTAATATTTTCGTTTGGTCAATCGTTGAATAAAAACAACTGAAAAGGAGAAATCGTTCTCTAGAACATCCTTTTTTTTATTTAATCACACATCGTACAAGACTTCTTCATCAAATTACGACTCCGAATAGTTCATATTCAGATTCGATGACCAATCTAAAGTCAATATTCATTGAGGGGAAAGTATGATTATGATATAAATGCACCAAATGGGAATTTTAGGAATAACATTATTGATATCTCTTTCCTTTTTTTAATTCTCTACTCTAATATCACTATTGTAATCTTTTTTTTCTATTACTCTAGATCGTATATAGTGTAGTTGGGTATTTTCATTCCCTAAGTCATTTTTTTAGTCACACAACATTGCCTTAGGTTAAACTAAAAAAAGACTATTTAGAAAACTAGTCAATGGTGGCCCTCCATGGATTCACCTATATAAGCCGCAACTAAAGTTGCAAAAATAAGAGCTTGAATACCACTTGTAAATAATACAAGGAACGTGGCAGGGATAGGAACCACTGAAGGTACTAAAGAAACAAGAACAACAACTACTAATTCATCGGCTAATATATTTCCGAAAAGTCAAAAACTAAGTGATAGGGGGCTTTGTGAAATCTTCTAAGATGTTAATAGGTAAAAGAATTGGAGTTGGTTGAATATATTTACCGAAATAACCTAATCCTTTTTTGCTAAGACCCGCATAGAAATATGCCACTGATGTGAGTAAAGCCAAAGAAACAGTAGCATTTATATCATTCGTGGGGGCGGCTAACTCCCCATGAGGTAATTGTATGATTTTCCAAGGTAAAAGGGCACCTGACCAATTAGAAACAAAAATAAATAGAAACATAGTTCCAATAAAAGGAACCCAAGGACCATATTCTTCTCCAGTTTGAGTTTTACTCACATCTCGAATAAATTCAAGGACATATTCGAAGAAATTCTGACTGTTGGTCGGAATGGTTTGTGGGTTCTGAACGGCTAGAGTGGTTGAAGCTGATAAGATAGAAATTACAACCCAAGAAGTAATAAGTACTTGGCCGTGGACTTGGAAACCGCCGATTTTCCAATAAAAATGTTGGCCTACTTCCACACCGGATATATCGTATAACCCATTTGGTGTGTTGATGGAACATGATAGAACATTCATATTGCCCTTTGACAAAAATAGAATTTTAAACAAAATTATTTTGATTCAACCATCTCTTTCTCAACTTGACTACTTGAATCATATATTTTGAATACCAACTAATCAAATTCTATTCCTTGTTATTTTTATCTCTATCATTGGCACTCACTGGGTTTTTAGAAACAAGATGTATGAAGATGGGGTTATCACAAGAAACAAGGAAAAACTAGTCGCTCAAGGTTTTTGTCAATTGGAAGGCTTGGATTATGATGAAACCTTTACCCTTATAGTAACACTTGAGGAAATAAGGTTGTTTCTTTCATATACATCTTTCATGAACTTCAAAGTATATCAAATGGACGTTAAGACCACTTTTCTGCATGGGGATCTCCAAGAAGAAGTTTTATGAAATAACCACCACGCTTTGAAATTGATGAATATCTCGATCATGTGTGTCGTCTAGAAAATGCTATATATGGGTTGAAACAAGCTCCCAGGGCGTGGTACGACACAATGGCCAGTTATCTCTTGGAGAATGGATATAAGAGTGGGGATATCGATAACATCATGTTTATCAAGCAATCAGGGTCTTATATTATTATTGCTTAGGTGTATGTAGACGATATCATTTTTGGATCCACTGATGAGACAATGCGTATTGAATTCACTGAAGTAATGGCCAAGGAATTTAAAATGAGCATGATGGGTGAACTAACTTTTTCTCAAGTCTACAAGTTAAGCACACCATTGATGGGATTTTTATTTGTCAAGCCAAGTACATCACTAACCTCCTGAAGTAGTTTGGTTTCATTGACAGATGAATGATAGTCTCTCTGCTCTATCTCGCTACCAGTTGTCTAGATATCATCTTGTCCACCATATTATCTGCTCGCTATCAAGCCAATCCCAAAGAATGACATCTTCACATTGTAAATAGAATCTTCTATTATCTGAAGCCCACACGTAATATTCGGTTATGGTATCCACATGATTCATAATTCAAGATGGTTGGTTACACTGATTCTGATCATGGTGGATGCGGTATCGATCGAAAGAGTACTTCAGGATAAGCTCAATTGTTGGGAAACAGACTTGTAATCTAGTCAAGAAAAAAAGCATATGTTAGTGGTTCGCTCTACCGCTGAAGCATAATATGTTGCTGCTGGAATGCAATGTCCCAAAAATTATAAAGTAAAAATTTTCTTTTTAGTTCAACACAAAACATTTTTTACTCTTACCAACCAATCAGATGTACGTCAAAATGTAATAATTATTAGAGTACTATTCCCAAAATCATAAAGTGCAGAATCATGGGTGGATGCATTGCGATCAAGTCGGGCCCTTCCCTCTCGAATTGGAAGTACGTGAAAGCATAACCATAAAAATATAAGCAGAAAGCTTAGTTAGTTCCCCAAAATACCTCATACCATATATGCAAAGGTCCTTTCCCTTTGACCATTGGGCCTCGCCCAGAACAGATCTATCAGTATCATGTGACGGGCCCCGCCCATCACACTTATACATACAACACATGAAAGAGTCACACTGATAACCAACATATAAATAACAATAATCCATGGACTGACATTGGTGCCCTCGACCCGCCAAACTGTTGGATTAGTGTCTAAGTCCATAACTATAATTGGTATATACTTGACCCGACCCGGCATGGTCCATTTGGGTTGCATGGCATCGGTACATTTGGATAGATCTTTTGTGAGAAGAGGATAGTTTTGACATATTAATATATTATAAGTTCTAATATATTAATATGAAATCATATTATTTAATTAGTATTGATCAAGAATTAATTTGGAATTAATTTAGTGATCAAAAGAGAATAATTAAATATATGGGGATTGATTGTGTAAATCATTGATTCTTATATATATGGGCTTATGATCCATGATTCCTTATGTTGGGCTAAGCCCATGGAGTGATCCATGGATGCTCCATGGAGGTTAAAACCCATGGAGCATAAGGAATGGGTAAAGTCATGGGTTACATGGTGTAACCCTGATGTGCACACTATATATAGACCCCATTGGTTGGTGAAGTTGGCACTAGTGCATACACAAGAGGGCAAGCCAATTTCTATGAGTCAAGTATCCTCTCTCATGGTTATTCCAAGATGTTCATGGTGTTGTGTGAACCATTTGAGGTGTCACACTTGGGTCACTAGGCTCTTAAGCTCCATGGAATCAAGCTACAACAAAAGGTATGTCTTCTATCTAGTATTGTTATCCTAGTACATATGAATGTATGCTAGTTAGGATAATACCTTGGAAATTGATATTTGCATGTATAATAGAGAAAACATAGATCCAAGGTATTTAGGGTTGCATGTACACCATAGGAGTGTTAGAATGCTCAAAACCCAACGGTGGTATCAGAGCCTAAGCTTGTTTTCTTGTTATACTTGCTTAAATTGTTGAAAAATCAAAGTTTTTTGCTGTCTGAACAGCAGACTCGCCGAGTCCATAAAGGGACTCGACGATTCCAAGGAAAAATTCATCCAACTCGCCGATTTGGTTCATGCACTCGACGAGTTAGACCCCCAGACAACATCTCTTCGACTGTTTTGGCTGGAATTGGACTAGGAACATTACCCTAAGCTGTTTTTGGACTTGTAAACCTGTTTTTGATGTGGTAATATTCATGCTAATCCAATTTCGAAGATAATTGTCATAATTTCAAGATTTGTATTAGTTTTATGTTCATGCTAATTTCTTGAAGATTGATGATTTGAATTATCTTGTTCTTATGAGTTAGCTTAGATTAATAGGAAAATTATGAGATAAGGTGTTTTCAATCCAAATTAATCAAAAAGTTATTCATAATATGTGTTTTTGTAACTTGTCCTCAAGTTACATGAAAAGTCACATTAAAGAATGTTATTAAAATCATAGGTTAGGAAACTTGAACAGTGTTTTCCTCATAAATAGTTTTATGAACTCCATAACTTGTCCTCAAGTTATGGATGTTCAAGAGTCTCTTCATTAAAAGTTTTAAAAACCTACATTAACCTCATATGTTATGAAAATCCAAGAGATTTTGGAAAGTTTCAATACTTGCCCTCAAGTTTTGGAATTTGTAAAGTTATGCTTATGAATACTTTAATTCCAAATCAAACCCTAGAATTTTAAATGTTTAAAATTCAACCCTTATACTATTATTATAATTTTAATTATATAGATATGTATAAGATAAAGTCAATCTTACCGTTAGTAGGCCTCATTCACGAAGTCGGTCTATAAGGGGGGGTATAAGGTTACTGCCTATAAAATGGCAGTTTAATGGGTGTCCACTCTCACCCACCGCTTCCTTGACTGGTGGAGGGTCGTTAGCCGAACGGGTAAGATAAGGACTATAATTATCCCTTCATTAAAAGTATAATGATAAATACTAAGTAACTAAACTCTTATAAATTGCCAATCTTAGTTACTTAGGAAAATGTGAAAAGGTGCTAACCCAAGAAATTACACTTTGCACCTTTGTTCAGTCGTTAGTGGAGCGTGTGTGGTTAACCGGCACACTAACATGGGACTGACAATGTGTGACGAAGGGTAACTTAAGTTTATCATAGATTAGTGGAGCGTGTGTGGTTAACCGGCACATCAATTAGGTGATAAAGTTGAGGGTACCAAGTCAATTTGCATGGTTATTCACACCTTGTTTGTGATCCTCGACATCCCAGTCACAAACTTGAGAGGGCACAATCGAGATTCAAACATGCCATTGAAAGTTCAATGTATCTCAAAAGATCTAGGAGTTTCAAATCCAATTAAAACATAATTATATTTCGTTTTCATGGTGGAAATTGGTAAATCGTCATTTACCTACCTTCAACTATTTTATAGCTTGGATTACGACATCCCTCTTCCGGTTATAAATAGGTTGTTGGATCCTAGCCTTAATATTTCATATTGGGTGTTATATTAAGGACTTTAAATCAACTAAACTTGGATTTCTCCCATTATAGATGTCCAGTTAAGACAACTATGGTCTTCCCAAATCTTTAGGAACAAGCTTTCCCATTGAAGATGATATCTGTCGCACCCCCAAACCAGAATGACGGACACGTTCGGGGGCGGAGGACTTTAGGTAAGTATCACAACACATGCAATATAGTAATCAAAGTAAAAGCAACCATTGCATTAATAAGTATAAGTTTTACATAAGTGTTTAAACATTACATATTCAAACACTAAAGTAGGTACAACACAAGACAAGAGTCGTGGTACGGTACTAGGTAGTCTTCTCAAAAGCTTCGGGAGTGTACCTGTCTACTGGATTCCTGAGAATACAAGTTATTTGGAAAGGGTAGATCAGCATTTAAGCTGGTGAGTTCATAAGTATTTTAGTTCTGTTAAGTATACCCTAAGTTCTTTGAATAAGTTCACTGGTTTCTCCAGGAAATCCTATATCTCTTGAGGTGATTAACTGATAACCTCAATAGTTTCCCCCTGTAATTACTTAGTTTATACTGATTATACATAACATAATATTGAATTGACAGTTAAATGGGTGTATCTGCCCTAAGCCCACAACCAAACAAGGAACAGGAAGTAAGGCGGAAGTTACACATTTCACTGTCAATCGGACATTACTTATGTACAACTCTGATGTAATAACTAAGGAATTATAGAATTAACCACTAAAGGTCTTTTATGTTATACTAGTTTACAAAGATTGAATGACTAAGTTTCATTTAATAAGTGGTTTAATCCCATAAACCGTTTCCTTGGTATAAGTGGTTTAATCCCATAAACCGTTTCATTTGTAAAAGTTTTCTTAGTTATATCTGTTCTATAGTAAAAACTTTAGTATTAATCCTGGAGAGTATTGTATTATCCATAATACTGCCTTGTGGTTTTAAATGTTCAAAACCAGAAGTACAATACCTGATTTCATGATACGTAGCTCTTACTATAAGTAAACGCTACTGAAGGTATATCTGGTCGGGATGTAATTAACTTTTCTTACTGTTATAAGAGAAGTATATTAATTTGTAATTCACT